GCTGCAATGAGACAAAAATGATAAAATACGCCTTTCTTCGATCTGACGACACCACCTATGGCGTACTTTGGAGCAAGAGATTTAGCTTAGGGAGGGGGGTGTGAGGGAGTATTGGGGGACAATTTCATTCCCATTCCATATTCTTAATTCATCGTAAACTGTGCCCTCGAGGCAGAGGTGTTGAATGCAGCTCATGAAGTCTCTGTGTTAGACAAAAGGCGTTGCTGGCAGCAGTCGGGGCACAGAAGACTCCGAAACAACAAAAAGGTCTGTACGTGCTAATTCTGTCTTCCATCTTCTGCAGAATTAAATTACTAGTGTTCCCCTGTGATCGATTTATATCCCTTGATTATCTCGAGTCAGCTCACCACTGCTCTAAGGCTCTCTAACAGCATCCATCACTCATCTGAAAAATTTCATGTCCAGCGATGCTGCATTTCCGTGAAATTGCTCTCATATATCGTTTCACAGCAGAAATTTCTACAAATCAGCCAAACACAGCAATCGCTGGGTATGAGGAGTGTAACGGATTTCAAAGGAGCGTCAGATCACTTCTGAATTTGATGTTTGTATACAGTGTATGCCATGAAACGATTAGGGTCTTGATAATTGGCTTTTTGTTATTCGTAGTAACCACCGTTCCATCAGTTTTGCGACCTCGGCTACAGTACGCTACTTGTTTAGTACGCTAATGTTATGCCGCCAATCACGAAGTCGCGCGTGTCGCAAATCGCAATGTCTGAACCCGTCCTGTTAACAACTGCATTCTACGCTTTCCGTCCACCCCCACATGTGCTGAGATTATTTGAAAATATTCTTTGAATAAGCCCATCTTCTGATTTCAATTTGAGTGATACTGTCCGCTTTGGCTGGAACCGATGAAGACCCCGTTACGATACAGCAGACACGCGACCGGCTGCGTAAAACGTCTCTCTACGATAACTATCCTCATGGTAAGTGCATTAGAATTCATTCAGAACTTCTATAGCTTTTTACTTGGAGTGATTTTACTTACAGTATGTGTCGAGCCCTTTCCTGCACTACCCATAAATGTTCGTCTGCCCAGTCTACGTGGAAGTTGCACACGTGGGAATACCACAGATCATTCCACCCGGAGCACATCCAACATCCTCAAACAATACGTGGAGGTAATTAGGTTCTCTATGCTTCACCTCTATAAAGTCTGGTCTATCCTCGGTTGACTCGCTTTCGATCGTGGCTCAGTTCTACACACGGTTTATAATCTCCAATATTCCCAATACAACCCCCAATCTTGTTCTTTGCAAGCTGATTGCTCTCTCCATCCACTTCTTCCAACTCAACAAGTCTTCAGCTCAAAATCTGTTAATAGACCCACTTCAAGCATAATGTTTTTACATGTTTCAATAAAGGACAACAGAGTTTGAAAAGCTCTCACATTTTAAGGAGGTGGACGATGGTCTAAAGCAACGATGGGCAAAACTCGAGGTGTTGCCGGATACGGAAGGGACGGCGGCGTTGGCTCAGCTCGTACTTCACCATACCGATCCTCCAGAGTCGAAGAACATCAGGAAGGTACAGTCGCTTTTGAAACCCTGTGTTGTTTTATTATCATTCTAGAACATTTGTGCAATAATCCCTGCCTCCTACCCCACAAACCATTCACCTTTGCATGATAAGTTAATAAGTATAATTAGAGTTTTTGAAGATCCGTGTTGTTTTTTTTTCTTTTTTTTCCTAGAGGATTTTGGGCCAGTAATTCAGAACTCTGAAATGGAAGAGCTTGCACAAGCTCTCTGAAAGCGTTTCACGTGGACCTGATTCTTTTCATGGAAGAGTTTGCTTGTAATGCTCTTTAGAAAAAGAAGTTGATTGCCATACAAACTAAATTGAGAAAAGAAAATGTGTCATACAAACTAATGAAGTAATGATTTCATTGCTTGGAATGAAAACTTTTTCTTCGAATTTTATTTTTGATTGCGTGCCTTTTTTAACACGTTGACGACGAGAGCGTTTTCCGTTTGCGCACCCACGGGACGACACCGTTTGAAGGCGCTGACAAATCGTCGGCTACCATTGGCGGACCTCGTCCCACGGGACAGACACCTATTGAAATTGCTGTATTCATGTGTAAAA